GTCAAATATTAAGTCCTAATCGTAGTCGACTTAATCATACTACCGTAGAAGCTTTGATGTGTACTAAAAGTTGGCTATGGAACTCAGACTATCTAGGTAAATTAATAAAAAATAAATTAGCATTAATGGTCAATTAGTAATTTTGTATCAATTCTAATTAATATTCTATATTTGATGTTTGTAGGTGCTAAAGCCACTAAAGAAAAAATTACTTTAATGAGTGAAAGTGAATCTGATGATGAAGGTATATTATATTTTAATATTACAAATTTTCAATTTGATTTATCATATCTAAAGTTTATCTTTTTTGTATGCAGGTGGATTGCATGCAAGTGGAATTACTGAACATGTGCAAAATTAATATATGTTGTAAGTGGATTTCAATTTCATTAGTCCAATCTAATTTTTCAATTCTAATTTTTAAAATTTTCATTCATAACTCAATTCTAATTTTTTATAAATTGTCTTATGATAGGTGGATTGAAGCTTAATGACACTCAACATTTTCCACTTGCAAGATGAATTTTAATTTTTATTTGAGAAATTTCAATTTATTTTGTTATTTGAACTCAACATTGTGGTTGTTTATTTGTGACAATACTCAACATTTGTGGTTGTTTAATTTATAAGATTTTAATTATGTGTAGTTATTTATTATGATGTGAAATATTTGTAGTTGTTTAATTATTAAGAAGTCTCTTGATTAAAATATGAGATAGACAAACAACCCAATTATCATTGTAATATAACATAAAAATAAGTTAAAAAAATTTTTGTAAAAAAAAATTATTTTTTTTACGGGTACGGGTACGGGTACGGGTATACCCGATACCCGACGGGGACGGGGATGGGACAAAAATCCCATACCCGACGGGTATGGGGACGGGGACGGGTATGGGTTTTAGTCGCGGGGACGGGGACGGGTATCATCAAACCCGTACCCGCCCCGCCCCGTTGCCATGCCTAGCCGTGACAGGTTTTCTGGTACCCAATGTCAGGTTTGTCATTGCTATGGTCACATTGCTTCCACTTGTTATTATCGATTTGATAGCAACTTCGTTCCCACCCTACCCCTTGATAACACCTTCCCCGCCAACACCTCCATCACCCACCCTGTTTTTGGCTACACTACCTCCCCCTTTCAATCTCAACCTGCACCTCACCCTGCTGGCCTCTCCAATGGCATTTTGGGGCCTCGACCACCCAATCCTAACACATCCCAAGCCTACCTTGTCTATCCTGGGAACCTTCACGCCCCACCTTCAACTTTGGCAATGGCTTCTTCCTCACCTGGCGCCAATATATGGTATCCTGACTCTGGCGCCTCCAATCATGTTACCAACGTATCTCACAATATACAACAATATACCCCTTTTGAAGGGCCGGATCAGATTGTAATTGGCAATGGCCAAGGTCTCCCCATAAACTCCTCAGGTGTTACTCATTTCTCTTCTCCTCTCAAACCCCACATTTCTCTTACTCTTCATAATCTCCTTTATGTTCCCACTATCACCAAAAATCTGATTAGTGTGAGTCAATTCTGTAAGGATAACTTTGTCTTCTTTGAATTTCACTCAACCTTTTGTTTGGCTAAATCACAGGCCAATAACGAAACTCTCCTCCTTGGAGTTGTCAGTCCTGATGGCTTATATTAGTTTCCGTCTTTGCTTCTGCCAAGACAACCCTCTGCTCACACTGTCTCTTCTCGTTCTGTTTCCTATGCCACTTGGCATTCTAGACTGGGACATCCCCATAATGATGTACTCAAATCTGTATTCAAACTGTGTAACTTTCCCATCATTAATAAAAGTATTTCTGATTTTTGCACTTCATGTTATCTTGGCAAATCTCACAAATTACCCTCTCAATTATCTAAAACTGTTTATCATACTCCTTTTGAATTAATCTACAGTGATCTATGGGGCCCTGCGCCTGTTTTGTCTGATAATGGTTACCAATATTACGTTACATTTGTTGATGCTCATACTTGGTTTACTTCGATCTTTTTGCTCAAAAGTAAAGCTCATACGCTTGATATTTTTAAACAATTTCACGCCATGGTTCAAAATCAATTTCAATTACCTATTAAAGCAATTCAAACTGACTGGGGTGGCAAATTCCGCTCTTTCACCTCTTACCTGGCCCAACATGGTATTCATCATCGCATCATTTTTCCCCACGCTCACCATCAAAATGGTGTTGTGGAACGCAAACATCGTCATATTGTTGAGTTAGGCCTTACCTTGCTGGCCCAAGCTCACCTTCCTATGCACTTTTGGGATTATGCCTTCCTAACAAGTGTCTATCTCATCAATAGACCACCTTCTTCAATCCAACAGGATGTTCCTTTCCGAAAACTATTTCATCAGCTCCCTGACTACAACTTTCTCTGTGTCTTTGGCTGCTCGTGTTTTCCTCACCTTCGGCCCTACAATAAAACCAAACTTCAATTTCGCTCTCAAGAATGTGTGTTCTTGGGTTACTCCACTTCGCATAAGGGTTACAAATGTCTTGCTCCATCTGGTAGGATTTTCATTTCCAAAGATGTCATATTTTGTGAAAATCGTTTTCCCTACCCAAGCCTGTTCCCACCATCCACTCCCAGCTCACCCTCCTCATCCATCTCTGTTCCTCTTGTTATCACCAATCCACAGGCTCCTATTACCTCTACCTCTCCTTCATCCTCGCCACCAATTTCCACTGATTCTTCACCTTCTCGGCCTAGTCATACTTCTCCCACGCCCAGTCCCTCTTCCTCCACCTCTTTACCCACTCATGTTGAGGCTCCCCCTGTCAATCTTCATCCCATGACTACTCGGGCTAAAGCGGGTATTGTCAAACCCCGACTGCAACCCACTCTTTTACTCACACATTTTGAACCCAAGAGTACCAAACAAGCTCTGGCTAGTGACACCTGGCTTGCTGCCATGAAGCAGGAATATGATGCATTAATGGCCAATGGCACCTGGACTCTAGTATCACTTCCCTCCCACATAACAGCCATTGGTTGTAAGTGGGTTTTTCGTATTAAAGAGAATCCTGATGGAACTGTTCACAAACATAAAGCTCGCCTGGTTGCCAAGGGTTTCCATCAGCAATTTGGGTTTGATTATACCGAGACCTTCTCTCCGGTTGTGAAACCTGTTACCATCCGTCTAATTCTCACTCTTGCTCTCACCCATCACTGGTCCATTCAGCAGCTGGATGTCAACAATGCCTTTCTCAATGGCAATCTTGAAGAAGTTTACATGTCCCAGCCTCCCGGTTTTGAGTCCTCGGACAAATCCCTGGTCTGCAAACTTCACAAAGCCATTTATGGTCTTAAACAAGCCCCGCGTGCCTGGTTTGATAAACTAAAAGCCACACTGTTTCATCTCAACTTTCAGATCAACAAGTGTGATCCCTCTCTCTTTGTTTATTCCCATGCCAATAATGTCATCTACATTCTTGTTTATGTAGATGACATTATCATCAATGGCAATAATACCACTTTCCTAAGAAATATTGTTTCCCAACTCAATTCCGCCTTCTCCCTCAAGGATCTTGGTAGATTGGATTATTTTCTTGGTATTGAAGTCAAACCCAATTCTGATGGCTCGCTCACTCTGACTCAAAGCAAATATATTCATGATCTCCTCAATCGCACCAACATGGAAAACTCTAATTCCATTACTTCACCCATGGTCTCTGGGTGTAAACTCTCTAAGTCTGGTTCTGACAAATTTTTGGATGTGTCTTTATACAGGTCTGTGGTTGGCGCCTTACAGTATGCCACAATCACTCGTCCTGAAGTTAGTTTTTCGGTCAACAAGGTGTGCCAGTTCATGTCCAATCCCTTGGAGCACCATTGGTCTGCTGTCAAGCGTATCCTTCGCTACTTAAAGGGAACCATGTCCCTGGGTCTCCATCTCCAACCTGCTCCTACTAACTCTCCCTTATCCATTCATGCCTACTGTGATGCTGATTGGGCTTCTGATCCTGATGATCGCCGCTCTACCTCTGGTGCCGCCATCTTTGTTGGACCCAATCTCATCTCTTGGTGGTCAAAGAAACAAATTGTTGTTGCCCGCTCCAGCACTGAAGCTGAATACCGCAGTCTTGCTCTTGCCACTGCTGAAGTTCTGTGGATTCAAACCTTACTCTCCGAATTACATGTCTCTCATCATTCCCCTGTAATCTACTGTGACAATATGAGCACAGTTGCTCTTGCGCATAATCCTGTCCTTCATGCTCGAACCAAACATATGGAGCTGGATCTCTTCTTCGTTCGGGAGAAAGTAGCTGCCAATCTTCTTCACGTGGTTCATGTTCCGGCCACTGATCAATATGCTGATATTCTTACTAAGTCCTTATCTCCGTCTCGGTTTTGTGAACTTCGGTCCAAGCTCAAGTTGGCTGATTCTTCGCCTCACCCTACTTGATCTTGCGGGGGGCTATTGGAGTATATCTTTACTCCTTCGTATTGTATTATTTTTATTCTTGTATTAGTTGGTTATCTGTTAGTTATTTTTCTGTTTTCTGGTTTGGTTACCTGCTCAACAGGTCAATGTATCTATAGCTTCCTTTGAAGCTATAGATACATATAAATAGACAAGTTGTAATGTTAATTAGTCAGTGCAAATATAATTTCTTTCTTTACTGAATTGCTTCCACTCAATCTCTCTTCTTCTTCTCACAACTCTCTCATCACAATTCTTTCTGTTACTCAATAGTTTGAAATTTTTAAAACTTACAACTAAAAACCACCCCAAACAAGCCCTAAGATAGCAGCCATTAAAAGGAGTTCAGAAAAATTAAAAGCAAAAGGAAAATAGCATATCATTACCGTTCCAAGAGTAAGCAAGCTTTTATTAATATAGGAACCTTCTTTCCTCCGCAAACCAGTTGTTTCGGTTTTAGAACTTTCAGAACCTGCAAGATCAATTAAGTGCTGCAAAAGGAAAAGGAAAGCAAGGGAGCTTTTAGAAGTGGTAATAAACTAAAGGCAGGAGACATTTACTGGAGCAATATAGTAATATAGTATAATGATCCTGGTCTTCTGAGCGTTACCAAGTGGGACAATGTTACATCCTCTTCCCCTAGATTTTCCCCTCGCGAACTGCTTTCAATAGTCTAATAGAAATAATGTAATCAGTAAAGCAGCATGAACTGTGTAAAGAAATAGAAACAACAATAAGGTAAGACCCCAGTAAGTTATGATTGGAGAAAACACATTCATAATGAATTGCGTTTAAAATATAGCTACTCAAAAGCAATTAATGCAATTCAGGAAATAATACGGCTCTGAAGCCACAAAAAGTAGTTTTAGGAAGAGTGCAAATAAGCAAAAGAAAAAGAGATAAGTTAATATCTTTTACTTAGACATTTTGATTGACCAGTAACTAGGTGGAACCAGAAAACGGATAGGGAAGAAGAAAAGAAGTAGGAAGAAAAAGAAAGGAGAAATGTGTTGATATGGAGTAAAACATAAAAAAGTAAATAAATAAAATTGCTTGAATTGAGAAGCAAACGAGTAATTTTTTAATGTAACGACTAAAAGGTTAAGATTGTACAAATAGTGCAAATATAGGGACTAAAACGTACTGTAAAGTGCAACACATGTTAATGTGATATTAGCAACACGTAAGTGCCATGTCATCTGCCGTTAACAGCGTTAACTTCATTAACTTTTTCTTAAAGGCAAGAACCAAAAAGGAATTGGAAGCACTTAATATAGGGACTAAAACAAATAATTTTTAAGTATAGAGCCTAAAAAATAAAGTGTATACAGTTATTGGGACCAGATGGGTAATTCAACAAATTTTTATGACTGGCTAATAGCCATTAACTAGCTCTATAATTATACCTTAATTAGCTTCTGAATGCATTAATAATAAGCTAAATTTTATGTTTTAGGTTAAATTGTTTGAGAGGATATATTTATATTAAGAGGAGAGGGTTATGGCTTATTATTTTGATACTTAGTATTTACACACAACTCCACAATAATGAGATATTGTCTGCTTTGAGTTTATACCCTCACAAGTTTGTTTTTGGTCATCACCCAAAAGGTGTCTGTCTTTATGCAACTCATTATATCACTTCACATTTTGTTATAAAGTATTGGTTGTCATTGAATCCAATTGTCACTGAACCCAACATGGTATTTGTCTAAGAATATATTTATATCAAAAAGAGAGGGTTATATCTCATCATTTTTATAAAAAGCCCTCACAATTTAACTTTTGGTTATTATTCAAAAAGTCTCTCAACAATAAAGTATGTGTATGTTTTATAAACTGTTATTTCTCCTTTTGTTTTAACGATGTGGGACCTTTTATGAATCCCATCAATTGCATGGAACCTTGTTTGTATCCGAATAAGTTTTTTATTGTGTTTTTAGATTCATTTTAACCTTTTATTTTTTTAAAATGTTCATTTTAGTCCTTTATCACTTAAATTTGGATCTATTTGATCCTTTTCAAACAATGACTATTTTTAATTTTGATAGACAATTTTGAATCTTTTATTGACGGATTCAAAACTCAAAACTTGTCTCATTAAATTCACATATATGAAAACTATGAAATTCAATCAAAGTTTGAATACAAGAGCTATAAACCAGTAAAACTCATGTGAAAAATATATCTCACAAACCATTAGAAAATAATGTGAAATTAAATTTTTAGAATAGATTTTGTAACGTTTGGACTTATTTATATGCAACTTTCATCATATTTATAACACTATTTAATTTTAATTTCAGTTGCGTTCAATAGTTTTTATATACGTGAATTTAATAAGACAAATTTTAAGTCTTGAATTAGTACACAAAAGACTCAAAATCGTCTCTCAAAATTAAAAATAATCATTGATTTAAAAAAGACCAAATAGATCCAAATGTAGGAGATAAAGAACTAAAATGAATATTTTAAAAGATAAAGGACCAAAATGAATCTAAAAATTAAGATGAAGAACCAAAAGTATAATTTAGCATATTTTTCATCCTTTATCTTATTTTTAGTATTCATTTTACTTTAGTCATTTATCTTTTAAAAGATTCATTTTGATCCTTTATATTGTAAATTTGAGTCAATTTGATCATTTCCAAAATAATGATTATTTTCAGTTGTTAGACATAATTTTGATTAATTTTTTAATTTATTCAAAACATGAAACTTGTCTTAATAGATTCACCTCCATGTAAATTATTGAACCCAATACATGTTCGAACCAAAGAGTTATAAACATGATGAAAATCACATGAAAATGAATCCAAGTAACCAAAAAAAAAACTAATATATTCTTTTTTGGTTGCTCGTGGGGCTTATTTTTAACACGATTTTCACTATATTTATATTCTTTTTTGGTTTTAAACATTAATTGAGTTTCATAGTTTTAATGTCACTGAATCTAATGGAACAAATTTCACATCTTAAATTAGTCAAAAAAAATTCAAAATCAAGTTCCAAAATTGAAAACAATGGACTAAATTGACTTATTTAAAAAAATCAAGGATCAGAATGAATTTTTTGAAAGACAAAGAACCAAACTAAATCTTAAAATTAAAAGAAAGGACTAAAAGTATAATTTAGCCTTAATAGTGTTAATAGGAAAGACTAACGAGTGTGTATAAGAATTAAGGAACCCTATTTCTCTCTAGCAGCCTCTTTTTTAAGATTGTAAAAAGCAAAATCATCCTCCATCACCTGATCCTCTCACTATTCTGCTTATATGTTCCCAAAATATGGAATTCCTGATAAATATTACATTTTCCCTTTATTAACCTTTCTCCTTCCCTTTATTCAGAACTTCAGTCTTTTTTCTCCATATGAAGCACGGACACTTCAAAATAGTTAACCATACCAGTAACCGGTGTCAAATACTTTATATTGATGCTTAAATCCTCCTGACTGCATTCTACAACTTTTTACATTTTATAATAATACCAATGGAAATACTTTTTACATACTAATGCGAATTGTATTTTGTAAAACATTGATTCTTGCTTTTAATTTAGGATGTGGGTTTTAATTTTGATTTTATATTACTTTATGTTATACCATAGTTGTGTTCCTGAATATGAATTTTAAAATATCTCATGTTTATGTATGTGTCCTATCATATCTGTGCTTCCTCTCCACTACCATCATTTTTCTTATCAAGTATTCAGAAAAACAGGTGTTGGCATCGAGACAACAAAATAAATAAGAGGTAGAAGATGACTATAAATCCAACCACATTCCCCTCTATTCAGTTGGTGCTGCTACGCTATGCTAATGTATCTATATTAGTATTCTAATAAGGACTTTCAGCAAAAAACAGAAAACTATATTATTAGCAAACATCAAATGTTAAAACACACATGTCTATGCTCTGCATTATTTCAAATCTTAAATATAAAGAGATTATCTTGACATACCAAGGTGAAAATAGTGTGGCTTCGACTGCTAAATAGATTGAAATTATTTGAACCCACATGTCTATGCTCTGCATTATTTCAAAAACTGTACGTTAAAATGCATGAATTGGAAGAAAAATGCATCTAAAAATACAAAAACGAAAGAAAATATCAGACCATTAAAAACACTCAGAAGAACATAAAATTTGCAGTAGGCAGGAAATTTTAAGTACAAAAGATGGTCATGCTTCAGTTGGGGCATTATGTAAAGAATTGAAAGGAAAAACAAACATGAATGCTACCAATGGTTGAAAATGAGAACAAAGGGAAGACAATCCTCAAAAAGTTTTTTATACCTTCTCCTGTAGCAATCAAAGAAAGGGCATGAGCAGGGGATAGCACAACTTCCTCTTTGATTCCTTCAACATAAGTACCCTGTCACCAATATATTATAAGACTCAATTAAATGGCATATCAAGCCTTCTTTATGCAATGTCTAAGATAAGAAAAATAAGAACCAATAGTTGTTTGTGTGTAACAAAGAAGAGTGCTAGCAACACACTCTTTTTAACACACTTCATTATTGGGTGCTACTGTGCTAGTACCAAATATGGCTTGCTTCAAGCTGTTACAACTGAAGTAATGACATTAAGAATTAGGTTTTAAGTAAATTATGGACATATGGTTTATGTTGATATCAACTTGAAGTAAGATCACTTACAGCAGAATTAAAATTGATTTAGAAATTATCTTCATACTAGAACTATAAGTGCATGGACCTTACAATTTTTAGAATTATGGTTGTAAAAATCACATTAGGTACACCTTATTGATCTGATATCTATCAAAGTATATAGTAGTTATAGTTTGTGTGTATATGTAACAGAATCTGTTAAAGAACTTAGTTACATGATGAGTCAGCATGACAGTTAGTCATTGAGCTTTATATATGCTGTTACATTAACAACTATCATATTGAATACAATTTTCATTTTTCTCCAATACAGTTCTTAGGGTTCTCTCTGTTTTGTTTACTCTCAATATCTTTTTAGAGTCACAATTCTCTCCTTTCCTCCTTCCCTATTTAAACCTTATAATTTCAACAAGCAAAAACATTCAGACTTTCAGAGTTGATGATAAACTGGCCCTGTAAAATTTACTTTGTGAAACTTTTTACAGTGAGCTAACAACAGGGTGCGCTTTTAAATAAAGGAAAGGAAAGTCATAAGATTCTTGACTAAGCTACTGCAGACATGAAAAACAGAAAATAAATAATGACAGTATGATCAGTTCTTGACTATCCAATAATAATTAATAAATATAAATACCTGAACATCCTCTCGTATTCTTAGATTCTGCCCAGTTGGATCCAGCAAGTCGTTAATGACCTATAACAATAGCAGATAAAATTTAAATTTGAAACATTAACATATAAATACATCAAACCAAGTATATACATAGCAATTTGAGGGGAGTAAAAAATAAAGTATATAGTTCCAATAAGAGCCTGTTTGCGTCTCTATTTGCAATGGAGTTTCTGCAAGGCATTTTTTTTTTCTTTGGGAAAACTGGGTTCCAACTTCCTACAGAGGTTTATGCACTGGAAAAACATAAAAGTGTTTGCTATTCTTATGGTTAAAGCTTAAAAGTCTGTTTTCAAACTATGCTTCTACTTGTATAACATGATCACTGACACTGTCACATAATGGTCTACCAAAAGTGTTTGCTGACCATGAACAGCCATCCTATGTCAGTTGCAAGCATTTCATATCAAGTTTATGCCACCTCTTCATTTAAACAAACTTCATCTTTTTATTCTTTTTGTTGTCATAACTAATATAGATTGTGTCCCTCATGCTGCCTGGACCCACTATTCTCAGACAATAATGGAGTTAATCTGGTCATCATTCTTGCTAATGCAAAGATGAGTTCCACCAATATAGGTATAACAAGCATAGTAAAGATGAGAGAGAGCTCAATAAAGCAAAGTATTAGTACATGATGCTAACCTCATTGTAAATCTCAAGATATGAGACACGTAGTAAGAATTCTCGTCCAGGAGTCTGAAATGACAAACACAACCTGTTAAGTATATGAACGGATTTAAAGTCAAGTTTGGAAAACTTAACTCTACCTCTTGTATAATACTGAAGACATCCTTCACTGCAAGTGGGATAATTCCAGGTGATTTTTGCTCCCCCTGCAAAAGTATATAGCAAATTTAGAATGTATACAGATCTGGAAACAGAAAATTTTTTTAAAAAATTTGAAGGGATTCCCCAGCTACTCTAGAGTCTAGAGTCAACCAACAAAAAAGTCCTTAAAGACGAAGGAGGACTGTTGATCTGCAGAATGACCACCTTGTTTTAAAGAACTTTTTTTTTTCTTGGGAAACAGCTTCATGCTAAATTCTAGAAGAAAATTTGATCAAGACTTATCTGTTATACATGTGTAAAGGGCAAGAGCAAGATTATATGACTAATGATTTACAACTATATCATCATATGACCTGGCGGCTTTATCTTTAATCCCTATCATTTCCGTTTCTGACATCTACACAGATATGCTTTGAACAATATTACCATCATGGAACAGATGATTCAGCAAAAGTTGATTGTCCATGGAAGCTATATCATTTTGTTTGATGGAGAATATTTGTTTGAAAAATATAGACATGTCTCTTATCGTTTGAACTATCCAACATTTCCATGTTGCAAAGCTCAGAATTAAAAAATGCAAAGTTAGGTGCCACATACAATGATACTTCTATGTAGATGAATAGATGATTAAACAATTAGACTAGCTTACATGCATGGTATGAGTCTTTCCACTACTAGTAACACCATATGCAAAAACGGTACCTGGAGGTCAGCAAAGCAACTGTCAGCCAATATTGCATTAGGTGCCATGTCTGGCTTGTGTGAAAGAGATAGAGAGCGGTTACCAGCATAATTTGCAAGAAAATAATATGATTCCACCTCAAAACAACAAAATAAACTATAACACCAAACATAGCCATATTTAGGAGGGACAAGCATCCCTTCTCACAAAAGTCTAATTACGAATATGAACTGCAGGTGGCAGGCTATTCCATAGTTAAATGAAGCACTGCCTTACTTATTGATGCCAAAAGAGTTATAAGGAACTTCATCTCTTTTTAATTACTCAAGAGGAACCAAAAAGGTAAGTGGATAGGGCAAGGAACCACGGTCTCATTACTTTACCATATATTATACAGTTGTCTCATGAGTGATAATCTGATAAGCATCTACACACTTGGGGATCCCTCTCTTAAAATCTAGCTTTTAAGGGAGAATTTTCCAAATGCTTAGGTGCTATTGGTGTCAAAGCTGGTTGTTGATGTCTCAGAAAAAAGCTACCTACAGATGGACTAACCAGAAAAGCTTGGTTTATTGCCGTGGAGTGTCAGCAGTCAAGACATCAGCTCTCAAGAGCGGTGCTATGATAGAGACTTGGGTATTATGTGGTGCCTAAGTCCCAACATCGACTAGTATGGGATGCTCAGTAGAGTATTTAGGTGCTTGGTTCTCTACCCTTAACAGCTAGCTTTTAAGGGGAGGTTCCCCGGATGCCTATAGAAAAAATACATTTTTTGTTGAAATTAATTGAGCACCTGGAAAATGGGTAATCTTACCTATATTCTTCAGCCATTAAGTTCACCACTTTATGTATCAATATGAGCCAGAAAATAGGGAAGGTCCCCAAATCACACGACTCATGGGAGGGTTTCCCAAATGCTTTTCATAAACTACATTTTTTTGTTGAAAATAATTGAGCACCTGGAAAATTGTTAATGTTACCTATATTCTTCAACCATTAAGTTCACCACTTTATGTAACAAAATGAACCAGGAAATAGGCACTTGACTTACTTCTGCTATCAGCATGCTCTATATTGTGCTTTATACAGTGTACATTACTCATGCGCAAGTGGAACAGGAGTTTTATTCTTAATGTTGGATCGAGCGCTTACCACTAGGCCAAAAGCTATAGCTGATAGCGCAGCAGCCCAAGCGCCATGATTCGATAGTGACTTGGCCCACCTAGCCTCCGCCATGGGACAATTGATGCAACCCGCAACAATCTCCCCCTCAGCAATTGCCCCGCTGGGTATCGAACTCATGACCTTGGCTCTGATACCAATTGTTGGATCGAGCGCTTACCACTAGGCCAAAAGCTATAGCTGATAGTCAGGGCGCAACTTTTTTTACTTAAGAGCACAGTAGCCCAAGCGCCATGATTCGACAGTGACTTGGCCCACCTAGCCTCCGCCACGAGACAATTGATGCAACCCGCAACAATCTCCCCCTCAGCAATTGCCTTGGGTATCGAACTCATGACCTTGGCTCTGATACCAATTGTTGGATCGAGTGCTTACCACTAGGCCAAAAACTATAGCTGATAGTCAGGGTGCAACTCTTTCTATTAAGAGCGTAGGAGCCCAAGCGCCATGATTCGACAGTGACTTAGCCCACCTAGCCTCCGCCACGGGACAATTGATGCAACCCGCAACACTTAAATTTGATTATATACCCCAACTAAGTTACCATCATCAATTGGGATTATTAGTACTCAATTGCTCATGCAGACAGCGTATATGTCGTATACATTTAAATATGTTAAAAACTTAAAATTATAACTCAAAAGGAAAGGAAAGTAAAAATAGATAAATAAACTATTAGAAATTAGTCAAGCCACCTATTCCAATCATTAACTTACTACAAACCTTCATTCCATTAACTTCTTCCTCTTTCAAAAAGAATTTAATATACACAAGTATAATTAACACCAAAAACATTACCGTTAATCCCTTCCATAGCACCACTAACAACTTGCTGAGCAGCCACATCATAAACATGCCGAGTTGTCGTTGCTGGCCCAAATACCTTATCTGCCACACGAAAAATATAGTAACAAGAAATAACATAGAAAGAAAGCACAAAACCAACCAGTAATTTATTACTCTGCAATTGAGTAAAACTGGTGTGACTCAGTTCTAAAGCCATAAGTCACAAACTCTCAAGTCTCAAGTCTCAACTCTATGGTCTTACCATTGACCAACAGCTTCCCGAATTAATGGAACAGATAAATTGTTGTGAAATTTTGTAATTTTAAAGTTGCATGTTTTATGAACCAATGTCCCTCCAAATATTTTTAAATAACTTATTTGGTAAGCATGTTTGGTATATGAATTTATTTTAGTAGCTTCAAGCTTATTCAATAGTTACTTAAACTAGCTTATAAACTATTAGCCTCTTTTTTTTTGCTTTTTCATTTTTATCCTCCTAATTTATTTGAAATCTCTTTTTTACCTCAAATAACTAATTTTTTTAATGTCATTTTACATTTACCAGCTAGCTTATTTCAAATTTTTAAACATATATTTAAAAAATAAAATTTTGCATACGATGAAAATTAAATCTCCTTATCTAAATTAAGTATTTGAAATGCAAAAACTTTTAATTAATTTATTCAATCAAAACATTTTAAAAAAATGAAGAATATTTAAATCAAAACTATTCAAATTTCAAGCATTTCAAATTTCATAAAAATTTTAAAATTTCTCGTTTAAACACAATCTAAGTGAAATGTATCTTCAAAAAAGAGAAAGAAAAAAAAAATAGAACATTGACAATGTCTTAAATTTAAGAATATTTTATTATTACATTGCCAAAAAAAAATTATGTCTACATCAAATTTAGCAACTTACTCTACCAAAAAAATGTAATGTTCATCTTCCAATGAAAATGAGATTTTATATTCATTTGACAAAAAAAGTTAAAATATTTTTATTAAAAAGTTGTATTAGTTTTACTTTTCTTAAACTTTATCATTTTTTTTTGTCATTGACTCTTTTAACTTTGCTATAAATCTATGAGGTGCTTTTAAATCTTATTCATTCATGAAGTCGTTTCAAATCTTATAAATTTTTATGACAAATATATAAAAGCATCTATATCATTATTTTATATTCTATTTTTTTTTTCTAATAAACGTATCTCTTAAGCATAAAATAGAAAAAAAAAATATATATTCAAAGAAAAAAATAACGGTTGACTCTTTTAAAAGTAGCTACACATTTTTTCCACTAAGGTACAGAGTGTTTTGTTTTCCTACTAGATAATCGCCTCGAGGCTTCTTCAAAAACTAATCTCTCTCATAACCTTAACTTAATTAAGATTATTCCTCCGGTTGTTTTTTCATCAACTCGTGACCTTGAAATTTAAAAACCAACCGCAGCACGGATCAAACCAGCCTTGCGTGTCTACTTTTACGTGCAAATATTTCATTACGTAATTAAATTCAAGTTAAACTTATCCATACAGTAATTTGGTTTAATTTGATTTTTGGTAATTACCCTGTCACCTCTATAAAGAAATTATGATGAAATATTTTTTATTTTAGCTTTAATTCAAAATATTTAAATAAAATACAGAGCAAAGTTGGAAGCGACTCTGTTAAGAAAAATGAGAATACTAACCAAAGCCATAAGCAAGGGAAGGATTGTACTCATTTCTAACTATATGATCCCCATCCGCATACCACGCCACTTCGTCCCCTTTATTAATTTCTCTCCCACTGCGCAAACACAATAAAACTAAAATTAAAATTAAAATTAAAATTAAAAATTAAAAATATATGAATTCAAAAAACGAAACGGACGAACCTGAGGGGTCGGAACCGGACAGTGACAGTGACATTCTCCTTGGCCTTGCTGACGTCCGACGCGGCGGCTGTGGAGACGGAGGCCTTGGACAACGACCTCGAGGCGGTGGAGGAGGAGGACGGAGTGGTAGGCCTTGCGGCGGGTTTGGAGGCTGCCGCCGGGGATTTCCGCGAGCGGAGCGGCGAGACGGAGGGTCTATGGGAGGAGCGGGTGGAGGCGGCGGCGGAAGACATTGACGGAGAAAGAGAGGTGAGAGGTGGAACGTGTTAGAGAGAGAGAGAGAGAAGGGTCACGTGCCGGCCATGGAAATGCAGACTTTGGAGTTTGGACTCTGTCTTCTCCCTCCAAAAAGAGGCCAATTTATTTTGATTTTTTTATTACTTTTGCCTTTTTTTTTAAAATTTAAATAAAAGGGGAACTTTACTCCTATGATTGTGTTACAAAACTAAGAACATTGTATAGGGGACCCGAAAATCTGATTAATTTTATTTTTAATAAATTAAAAAATAGATGAATTTAGTTATGTATAAGCGTAGATCAACCCTTACTGCTGAAGTACACGCTTGGAATTTATCAATTTAGTTATTAGTTTTATTTTATAATAATATCATTTCTAAAAGAAATTAATAATATCATGAAATTATTGACTATTTATCATTAATTAATTTTGTCACATAAATGATTAATAGTGAATAACTTAAACATAAAATTATAGGTATTATTTTTTTATTAGAATTAAAATTTCACTTCAATAATGTATAAGATGAAATTCTAATTTCATTGAGAACAAACGATATTTAAATTATGTAATTGTGTATTTAAGTTTTGCTCATTAATAGTGTCACGAGATTATTAATCTTATAAATTTGACTTATTTTGTCTTAAAAAAATAGTTTTAAAAAATAAATATCAATGTAAAGAATTATCGATGTAATAATTAATAATATCTAATAATAATTAATTTCATCTCATAAATGATTAATAATATAATGAAATTATTGTAATGTCTAATAATAATCAATTAGTTAAGATATAAAATTAATTATATAAACATTATTAATCATATCTAATTGGTAATGTTAGAAGTAAAATCATATGTATGTTAATTAGTACTTAAAGAATATGAGAAGAGAAAGAAAAAAAATTTATAAACAAATTACATAAATTAACATTCTTATAAACAAATTTTGATATAATGCATATTTATTGATATTTTTGATCAGTCATTATAATCTTCGTGTTTGAAGTATTGTTTACTTTGATATTTATTAGACTGTCACGATTTTATCCTTAAAAAGATATTTAGATAAATTAAAAGAAAATATATTTATAAATTGTTTAACCTCAATTTTTAAGTGGTATAAAATTTATAGACATATAAAAACAATTACCGATCCTACAATAATGAGAAATCACAAAAATAATCTGCTAAAATTAAATTAACAATAAAAAAAATGAGTAATTTAACATTAAATTATATGCTCAAATCATGTTATCATTATTAATCATATTTTTTTTAGAACTTTACCCTTAAAATATGCATAGTTGAATTAATTATGGGGTTAAAATGCGATGCGAGTGGGCAAGCTAGGGCGTGTGTGGTGTGGTAATGGTGATATTGTTTGTTTAGAGTTAAGAGGGTGTGAGTTACGATGATATGCGAGTTTTTCTACCACAATAGATTTAAAATAGTTAATAGTGCTACACCACCACACCACAATGCCCTTTGTTTGTACTTGCTAGACAAAGTGACCCCTTCAACTGTACCAATTAACTAATTTTCAAAATCTAATTAATTAATTTCGCTGTACGCTACCGGAAACGGACATAGATCAGGCTCTGTCACGAATCACGATACTTTTGTTTTCTAATGCAAACATAAATTTTATATCTATACTAATAAAGGATATATGTATTTTTAGTATACTTATTTTATCTCTTAATTTTTAAGATGATTTTTTTCTCAAGCTATATTAACCTTTAAATAATTACTGCATGAAATTGTTCGCACAATTTAATAGTTAATCACTCAGATATGCTTAACTTTAATTATTTTATTATTTATTTTAGTTTTATGTTTTAAATGATATATCCGAAAATATAAAATACCTTATATGCGCTAATATTATTAAAATAAAATCATCTTGTTGTGGATTAACAAAAAATTGAAAGGGTAAGAAATTTTGAAATTTAGATTAAAAAAGAATGTTTACAATTTTTAGTTTAATTTTTCCTCGATTAATAAAAAGTATTTTTTATTCACATTAAATTTCTTCTTTATTTTCTTTTTTTTTTCATTTAAAATTTTTTTTGTTATAATATTGTAAGTTGTAATAGTATTATAATTATTTCTAGTCGTTTTATGTATTTAAATTGAGTTATTAATTAATGTTGAGAAGTTTTGGGATAGAATCTCTTAAGAGTTTTAGTGGTATTGAAAGGGAGGGGGGTTTCTCTACAAATAAGACCATATAAAGTTTTTATAGAGAGAAGATCTCTAGTTCGTGTGCTATCTTTTTTCTCAATCTTCTCCTTTTCATCCTCCGATTCTCATTAGAGTTATGTTGTCGTTGGATTCAAGTCTAAAGTAGTTGGAATCTTGCGGCTAATTCATCGGAGTAGTGTTGCATAGTCTCAATCTTTCTTCTCTTTTACCTAAGTCCCAAGCTACCCAAGGTAAGAAAAGTTAGATTAGATTATTGCTTCTAATGAAGTGTTGAATCGTTGAATGATGCGTTGATTGTATGTTGCATGAATCCCTTGCAATTCATGGCTATTAGTTGATCAAATCAAAGTGAGTTGTAGTGAAAGTTGGGGTTTTGGGTTCTTGATGAAGAATGTGGTGATTTAAGTTTATTTGTTGTTACATGTTTTTGTGTGTGTAGGATTTGAGTTTTTTGTGTTGAGTAGAAACATTATTTCTTATTGCATGTATTGGATTCCTACTAAGTTTCGAGTTATGGAACCAAATCAAGTTCTACATATGCATGATTCTAGTGCCGTGTCAAGGGCGCCTTTGTGGAGTCGCGTGCAGGACCAATGGTGTTGGACGTAAAGAAATAGATTTGTCTCGGGTTTGGCATGGCATCGGGTGTGGTTTGAATGGCGTCAAGCGTGAGAACCTTAAGAGCTCTCTGACTTGGTGATGTCGAGCTCAAAGTTGAGTGGTGTCCAGTGTGACCAAGTCATAGCTCTCCGTTTTAATTTCATCAGACATTAGTATTACGATGCTTGACATGAGTTAAGTAGAGACTCTCTGTCTAAGTCAAGCAAGGGTTGAGCGTGGTGCTTTATCACACCAAGCACGAGGTCTCAAAGACCTCTACCTAAGACACGTCGGGCGCGGGTTGTGTAGCGTTGGGCGTGGGCGAGGCAAAAAGTCCCCTACTTGGATGACGTTGGGCGCAGGGAGCATAGTGCCAAGCATTGGTTGCTAAAGGAAGATATGTTGATGTATTTGAAGAAGTGTTGAATATTTGTTGAATTAGTTGTTGAATGAATAAATGATGAAAAAGCTACAAAGATGAAGTTGTATATGTTGTTTGATTTGATGAAATGTTGCATATTGTTGATTGAGTTGTTAGTTGAATGTTGAGAAGAGTAGTGCATTGTGTTGTTGTGTTGGGATTTTCATAATGTTATATTGTTGTTGAGATGTGATGACTAAGAAGTTGAATTTGAGTAGCAATGATTGTCAATAAAATTGATGACAATTATTTGACATTATTTCTACTGATTTGGTGACCCTTTAAAACAACATATCTTACATGATTGTATAGTTGTAATTATGTAATTATATTCTTAATTAGTCCAATTGTAGGTTAGTATTTTTTTAGCAAACTTCAAGGTTAGAAATCAGTTTAGAATCTTATTATTTAATAAAGAATTCTCTAGAGGAGAACACATAATTTTTTACCTCAATTTCTCTGAGTTTTACATGGTATCAGTCTTGGTTTCGGTTCAAACCTAGTTTTTTTCCATTGCATTCCCAATCTATGTGTTCCTAGTTCTAGTCTCTTGCACGATACTATTCATAATGCACATTGTTCATACGCTCACTTTTCACACCGCGACATAATGTCTACTGACAAGTATGATGTCCTCCTTGTTCGCCTTAATGGAAATAACTACTCCACCTGGGCATTCTAATTCCAGATTTTTGTCAAAGGCAAAGAGCTTTGGGGTCATGTTGACGGAACTGATTCTTCTCCTAACAAATCAACACACACAAAGACACATGCCAAATGGGAGGTTGGAGACACACAAGTTATGACTTGGATCATCGACTCAATTGAGTCTAATATCATCCTCAATCTCAAATTGTTCACCATGGCAACAAAGATGTGGGAATATCTAAAAAAAAATTATAACTAGAACAACACTGCTCGTAGGTTCCAACTTGAACATGAAATTGTCATTTTTCAACAGGATAGTCTCTCAATTTCTGAATTTTATTCAAATTTCATGAATCTTTGGGCTGGATATACTGACATTATTTATAAAGATCTGTCGACTGAAGGATAAATTGTAGTCCAAAATGTTCATGGCACCACAAAATGAAAACAATTTCTTATGAAATTGAGATATGATTTTGAGGGCATTCGGACCAACCTAATGAACAAGGCTACTATCCCTTCCCTACATGAATGCCTAAATGAACTGCTTTGTGAAGAATAATGTCTCCTCACTTAGATGAATATAGAACAATAAAAATCTGCCTTTCTGCTTGTGGCATATGTAGTACAAAGCAGACCTCGAGGACGAGACATAAGTATTGTCCAATTTTTTTGTTGTAAGGGCCTTGGCCATTTTGCTTCTAACTGTCCTACAAAGTTTTACAATTACTACAAAAAATAAGGTAACAACATCAAAAAATGTCAAATCCGACCACCATAGAGAAATGCAACAACCTTCACTACCTCTATTGGTTCTTCTACTACTTTTATTTCTGTAAATCAGAATCCACCTACTTTTGTGCCTACTTTAACTCCTGAAATGGTTCAACAAATGACGGTTTCATCATTTTTTGCTTTGGGTCTTTCAAGTAAAGCTGCTCTCCTTGGTATTTTGACTCTAGCGCATCCAATAATATAACCAACAATGTTGTTGCCCTTTCCAATGTTACCAATTACTTTGGTAATTTTCAAATACACACTACAGATGGAAACGATTTACCTATCACAATAATTGGTGATATTTCCTCATCTCTTATCAATGTTTTATGTTTCCCCTGATCTCACCATTAACCTTATTTCAGTTGGTCAATTAGTTGACAATAATTGCAAAGTTTAATTTTCAAAATCTGGTTATCTTGTGCAAGATCAACACTCAGGGACAATGATAGCAAA